TATATATATATAAATGATTGTATAACAAAAAAAGTTATTATGTATTTATGCATTAACAATCCTGTAGTCAATTTCTAGATCTTATTAATTAGGTTAAAAAGATTTTTCATTCAAAGGTTTTTATTAAAAAATATATTTTCATAACATTATGTAAGGAATTATCTTGTTTGTTTTATTTTAATTTTGTTACTTAAAATTTTATCTCCCATCCTAATCATTAGTAATTACTGTAATTAACCCTATTAAATTTCTAAAAAAAAAATCGTACCTTATGCATATATAATTAGCAATTCCTGAGTAATTAACAGACAGTTCTTACATATGATGATGTTACTGGTCAAGCGGAAGACGAAGACATAAGTTTAACCAATATGTCAACTTTTCAAAGTAAATTACCACCTGGTATATTATCACATGGGCTACCACAAGTTAAAGAAGTTGCACCTGCCATTACATCTTTAGAAAGAGAACCAATTATTAAAGAAGAAACTAAAAAATGTAAATTTATTTTGTTATATTTCTAGAATCCAAAAATGTATTGCACTTTAAAAAAATGTTCTATGTACTTTCTTTTAATAGTAAGAGAATTGAGTGATGCAGAAAAGATGATGATAATCCATTCTGATGATTTTCAACAATTTATGGATCGTGCTGGAAGAGTTATGGAACGAGCATTATCAGAGAATGTTGATATATATACAGATTACACTGGAGCTTTAGATAATAATGACATCAAGTGATTTTTTGATTTTTTTTTATATTAATATTAAATCAATCGGCGCCATGATAATATTATAAACAATCTTTTAAAAAATATTTTTAAAATTAAGGGTGAATCGAACTTAAACTCAAATTCAAATTTATCATCTAAAAATTATTTCTGTTACGGAAATTTTAATTTTTTATTTTACCATTTTTATATGGTAAAATATTTTTATCATAAAGTATTTTAAATATATTTTTACTTTTAAAATTTATTTTTAGTGAAGATAAGAGTAGCACTAGATTATCTTTGACTCGTGTATTTTATGATGAACATTGGTCTAAAAATCGTCTTGTAACATCATTAGACTGGTCTCAACAGTTTCCTGAGCTAACTGTTGCATCTTACAACATTTCAGAAGCACCGCACGAACCTGATGGTGTAGTTTTAGTTTGGAATACCAAGTTTAAAAAAAATTCACCAGAATATGTATTTCATTGTCAATCCAGAGTACTATCTGCTACGTTTGCTAGGTATAATTTTTTTTATTGTTATTTTTAGGAAAAAAGTAGACTTAATATAAGTTTTATTGAATAGTTTCTTTTAAATTTTACTCTTTAATTTACATTTCACATTTATTAGTATATATTAGTAATAAAATAATTTAAAATAATGATATCATTTACATTAAAACTATATCATTATTGTTTCAATAATAATTTAAAAATATATGATAGTTATGACTTATGTATTATTGGTTATTGTTTAGATTTCATCCAAATTTGATTTTGGGTAGTACCTATTCTGGACAAATTGTATTATGGGATAATCGTGCTCAAAAAAAAACTCCAATTCAAAGAACACCTTTATCCAATACTGCTCATACAGTAATTAAAAATTACCATTTCATTAATAAGTTAAACAATTGTATGATGATTATTATTATAAAATGTTTTTTAGCATCCTGTATACTGTATTCAAGTAGTAGGTACACAAAATGCTCATAATTTAATCAGCATATCAACTGATGGACGACTATGCTGTTGGAGTTTAGATATGTTAACACAACCTGTTGAAAGACTTGATTTAACTGCTAAACAATCAAAATCAGTATCTGTATCAGCTTTTGCATTTTTACATGATGATGTAAATAAATTTGTATTTGGCAGTCAAGAAGGCTCTGCTTATTCTGGTAATATAGTATATGTTATAATTCATTAAGGATAAAGGACAGTCATTTTTCAAGAAAAATATTGTTTTATTCAAAAAACTAATAATATGTAGCTAAATAATTTTTTTTTACCTCTTCAGAAATAAAAAAACTTATACTTTAATTTTCTTAAAGGGAAACTCTTATTTTTGGTTTAATTATATGTTAGACAAAATATTTTTTAAAAATTTTGTTCTTAATTTTTCTTTATCCGATAAACCATTTGTTTGTGCCGCAAACAAACGCGTAGATAGAGCGCGCTAACTTGGTTCCGTTAGTTCACCTTCCCTTCATCTCCCGGTTGTTTAGTGACGTCGGTCATTTATCACCGATAACTAAAAAATATGTATGTTTTTCTTTAGTATAGGTTAAGTTATATAAGTTTTTGTATCATTTTTCCCTTTTTTTGAGTAACAACAGTCAGTTGTTTTTATAGCTAGCCGCACTTTAGCATAAGTAATATTATATTATATTAGTAGTATATTTTGGTGATTAATTTTATTTGAAATGATTTAAGTCAGACTGATGTCATTTTATACTATGTAATTATAGTGATCCCCCTGTTGGTCGGGGTTAGAATAGACCATCGGTTGTTCCTGCCTGTCGTAAAAAGCGACTGAAAGGGACTTGTAGTAG